CCCCAAAACCCCAAAACCCCAAAACCCCAAAACCCCTTTCTGAAAATTTTAAATTGATTTTAACAAAAAATACCTCAAAAATGGAGACTACCGGGGAAACTACTGAAGGTAAGGCAGACCAATCCTTATTAGACATCCTCAGACATTCTTAACCATTGAGCTTGTTCACAAGATGGACCTGATTCATTTTTGACTATAAATTCTTTATCATGGGATTAACTTCAAGGAAGATTTGCTTTACCTGATTTTTCTAGACAAAACTTTGACAGTGAGACAAGGCCTGAACGACCTAGAAATTTTGGATGATACCTATTTCCAAAAGGACAGAGACACCAAGATCCAGGAGAAGTTTGATTCAGTCATGGAGCAGATTGAAAAAGAGTATTCCGGATATGGTAGCGCAATGCATCTCATCATATAGGAGATGATGCCGCAAAAGAAAGTGAATATATTTATCTGAAATCAAAGGCACAGGACTTTATGCCAACATTGCAAAAGGAAGCAAAAGAAGGAATGGAGAAGGCTCTTGAGCTCAACGGGGAAAATTATGAAGCCATACGAGATTTGGGAGTAGTTTATTACAAAGAGAAAGATTATCTTAGAAGCATGGAGTTCTACAACAAAGCACTTGAAATTAAAGGAGATGATAGAAAGTGCCTCGGATACTTATCAATCGCCTTAAGAGCAGCCCCTACTAAAGATGATGCTCAGAAGCAAGAGAATTTGGAAAAAGGGATCACCCTTGCCAAGGAAGCAATAAACCAAGATATTATGGATGGATATAGTTGGTATTTACTTGGAAACTCATATATGAGCGCTTTCTTTACGCTTGAGAAGTATGAGTACCTGGATAACTCACTAAAGGCATATACTCAATCTGAGAAGACTCAAAAATATCCAAATCCTGATCTGTATTTCAACAGAGCTAGCATCTGCACCTATTTCGAAAGATATAGTGAGGCTATTAGAGATTATATGACTGCACATTCTATTGACCCAGGGCTTAACGGCCAGAGCAAGGCTGAAAAGATTGTTGAATTTGTCATTGGAACCACAAGAATGATAGAACAAAAGAAGAAATCGAAGAATAAGAAGACTTCTGATCTTGTGAAAGAACTTCCCAAAGCACTTGGGGAAGTTAAATTCTTATCAACTAGAGAGACAGAGGAAACCTTTAAATACAAGTTACTCCCACAACCTGATTTTGAGGCTGGAGAGAACAGAGGAGTAATCTTTAGTGCTAAGGTGATATGTCAGATCCATAAAGACCCACCTGTTCCAGCTTGCTTCTTAGTGATCGATTCTTCTCACACTTATTCTGTCGTCAGCTTGTACAGCATTCACAAAGGAATCAAGGACAAGATTAAGTACGGTGATGAAATTCTTATTAGAGACCCTGTTCTCATGTTCATTAGTATTGAGTATCAGAGCAGACTGTTGACTTACCCAAGCATTAGAGTCATCCATATCTCAGATATTCTTGTAAATCAGGAAACACTTTCGGATGTGTATGGAAAAGCAGAAGCGATTTCAGAGTCTCAGTAATATATTTAGTCTAGAAAACGCAGGAATTTAACAAAGTTTTAGAGGTTTCTCAAAGGGCAAGTTTAGACCAAAAGAACAGCCAAGTCTTGATTCTTTAGTGCAATTTAGTCCAAAGAGACATTCTTAGAAAGAGCTGGCTCTATGAATTGATGTTTATACCAAAGTTTAAGTGAATATTTTTGATTCGTGAAGCATATGGATTGATTAAATTCTTATTTTCAATGTAAACTGATAAATTCGGGGTTTTGGGGTTTTGGGGTTTTGGGGTTTTGGGG